GTCTGCTACCTGTGTTTTTGAATAAATAACACACAGGAGCTCCTCTTTTTCATTTACTTCAGTAGCGGTAAACCCAAAATTCAAGTCTTGAAAATATCTTCTTGATTTAATTTTCAGATCCACGCTCGTTTGTGCACTTGTTAATGCTTTATTATCGTCTAATGTTTGCTTAAGATTTAAGAATTTATCCATGATTCTATTTAAATCTACTGTTATTTAATACTGCGAATTGCAATTAACATGTAAGTTACAAAATGCAGATCCAAGATAGATTCGGTAGTGATAGAAGGATCGACTTGATTGTGACTGACTGGAATTTCGCGAGGTGCAGAATTTAACACGTTTTGTGCAGGCGTTTGATAGGTTGCGCAGATGTCCGTGAGAATGCCGAATGTGATGGATAGAGAGCAACAGAGACCAGACGATTTTTCCACTGACAGGATGATTGAGGTAATAAGTATTTAATTAAAAAAATGGATTTTGCAATGTCTTCCAATTTAAAAATTAGGAAAAAAAGTAACATAATAATTATCCTATTGCTTGAAAGTAACATATACAAAATTTATTACTTATTTTTATATATTGCATGGTTTATAATCAAGGTCATATTCTAGCTTTAACGTCAAAGTGCATTATTATTGCATTCAGCACATTGCTTTTGCATAGAAGAATGATGAAAATTATGACTGAAAATTGGGCCGCAAATGTTGAAAGTTTGAGAAGCACTGTCATATGCTGTTCATCTCTCATGGATTTTTCATGAATGGGGATCATGCCATCATGTGCAACAATAAGCATGACTAACATTTAGGGAATTCTTATGCATTTTTATAGAATGGATTGAAAAATTTATCATGAAGGCATGGTAGAATTTAACAGCCTGTATCTCTGCTTCTTTTGAAACTATTTACAAAATTCCAATCTCTGTTCACACGGGATTGCAGTTTATAGAGAATAATAAAACAGTTAAATACTTAAGTTATAGTAAGTTCTGTAAAATACACAGAATATTACAATAAAATGCAATACAAAACAACTAATAATCAATTAAAAACCATAAAAGGTTTCAGATTTTAATAGTGAGCCAAAAGGTTTTAAGGTTTTTATGCTCTTGCTGAGCTCGCAGTCTGCCTGTCTGCTCTTGCACTCAAGCCTGCTGACTCTTTTTGGGTGTGTGTGTCTTTTCAGCTTTATTATTAAGCATTGTTTTTTTCACACTTGTGCCACCTATAAGTTCAGCAACAAAATCACAAAATTTTTAAAGAGGTGCATTGCAGCATATGTTTTGAATTCCCTATGCTGTGTTAAGTTATATTTTTTCAATATTTTCTCAATTATCATATCAATACTCAGTTTTCTTAGTCGGCTAACAAAAAATTTTTTCTGTCTTTTTATTATTAACTTTTTATGCATTAACTTTATTTATTAAATATCACGTTGCACAATGTAAAATTCAATTCAACAGCAAAATCGTGAAATATTTAAAAAGAGCATATCTTTAGAAAATCTGATAGGGGTAGAGGTTGCCATACATAATTTATATTTGCTGTATTATTTCTTTAAAAATTAGCCATTTGTGCGGCCAGCCACCTAAAATAATTATCATGAAAAAGAAAAAGTATTTAATGGGCCCAGCTACTGTAATTTCATAAAGATACTGGATATTTATAATTAGACATCTTATGATTTTAATACTATCTTATTAAATCAATTACAGTTAAAAAGTAGAAGAATCTTTTTTAAGAACTATGTTTATTGCTTTTAAATTGTTTAGTTTATTACTCAGTAACCTTCCAGATTAAATTTGAAAGTATCTTAGGCTTTGCTGAATGGCAGCACACTAGCACATGAAAGAGAAAAGTATTTTATTTCCAGTTGTGGCAACACATTGCTTTGATAGAGCCGAATTTGTTGGTTAAAATTTAAAGATAAATATCTTACATTTTTCGGAATGGCAGCAATCTTGCACGCTGGAAATAAAAATGTGGTATTTCGAACAGTGGTGCCACTGCTTGCTTTCAAATCGACAAGTTTTTTAATCAAAAATTTATTAATCAAAATTTGGGCTTTCAGATTCATACATTTGGGTGGAGGATTGCATTATTCAAAATTTGATGACTCTAGGTACCATCTTTCGCAATGTAAGGAACATATGTACATACATAACATTCTTCATTTAATTTTTTAAAAACAATACAGTATAATGTTGTTGGTGGCAACAATTTGAAAAGTGATGCACCATTTATATTGAACGAAAGCAAAATCCCATTTCGAGACTATAGCTCCTTTTGGGCTAAAAAGAAATACGGCATAATGTTAAATAGATAAAAATGAGAAAATGGAGAAATAGATTCTTAAAACAAAATAAAAATTTGAAGAATAAATGCTTTTCAGAAAAAAATAAAATATAGTTAACAGCTATAAACACTCAAATATATCTTCTCTTCACTGTATATGTCTTTCTAAATCTCTTCATATCCAGTGGCATTAATAAATGATAAAAATATGTTTAGTGCTTTCCATTAATAAATTCAGTCTTTTTAATTTTTTTTTTAAAATTGTGGTCAAAAGTGCAGGATTAAGTGTGAGATTCCATTTAAGAGATTGTCTGTAACAAAGGCAGTTGCAGACACCCAATACCTACAATAAATAATAAAAATTTGCAGCAATGAAAAGGAAAAAATTCATTGATTAAATAGCATCATGTATTAAATACTTCACGAGTTATTAAAATGTAATAGTGTAGTAGGAATTATTGTCCATTTGAAGCTGGGATCTGTAGATAAGATAATTATTTTCTTAGATGTCTTTGCACCACTATATTTGAAACATGCTGCCAAAAATATATACAGTCAAAAGTCCAGACAAAATATCCAGACTCCTCGGGACTTCGGCGATTCCGGATTATAGATCATCAGTTTAAATGTGGTAAGATGGCATGCAGAAATTATAAAATTAAAAATATGAAACCGTAATTTATGAAATAAAGAGCAATCATGATCTAAAGGGTATTAAAATTTACAAAAAAAAAGCTTAATATTTATTTGTTTACTTTATTAAACATTTCTTTCAACGTGCACATGCGTAAAGCATACATTACGCATAGTCAAAATTAGAAAATTGCAACCAGAAAACTATTTGATGTGTATTCGTGATATTTATAATGACGAGGAATTTGATTTAAATCATATCAAAGGCGGAGTACATCGAGATGAAATACTACATTTAGTAAGGAATTATAAGTCGAATAAAATAAAAACATCTGCCCTGAAGATAAGGATAGTGCTGACAGATCAACTTCCAGTTCATTGTGCGCTGCGACGTCCCCCCCCCGCGCAGAGCAGCGTGAAATTGATAAACAGATTTCGGAATGGTTAGAGAAACAAAGGATATGCCTTTATCCATTTTTTTGCAGCAATTCCACTTTTTGTTTGATGGACATCGAAACATGCTTTCGCTTTGTAGATCCTTTGGCAGCTCCAGCATCGGAAATTCTATTTGACATAATCGAAAGTTCAAGATTATTTTTATAAAAATGCTCTAAAAGTCTGCAAAAAATAATACGTCGGATCCAATTAGAAGATTAAGGAACAGTGCAGTCTGCAACATTAACTGAAATAGATAATTAGATACTTTTAGCTTAGCTTATACCGTGCGTTATACGTTAAACGCATATGCGTAAACGTATTATGCGCATGCGTAGACGCATCATGTGTTTAAGTTTGTAGCTTTGAGGTCCGGATTATAGATCATTCAAAATTATGGACATCTGGATTAAAGACTTTTGACTGTAATTTCTTTCGCAGAAATTCTGTCAAAGATAATTAATTATATTGCAGATGTATTACAGTGCAAAGTCTGAGATCCGGATGTCCAATATCAAGAATGATCTAAAATCCAGACCTTAAAGCCACCGACAAAATTAGTTGTTGATGCAAAATTTGTCCTGATTGTAGACAACTTTTTGGCTCACACTTCATGTAAAATTTTAGTGAAAGATAATGTATCCATACTATTCTTTCCTTAAAATTGTACGTTCATCATTCAGCCTATGGATATCAGAATAGTGCACGTGCTGAAAATGCAAATATAAAGTAGAATTTTTAAAACACATGTTACACTTCTGGAATAATGGCAAGACTAGTCAAGGGTTTTTGAAATATTGTAGTGTAAAATCTGCTTTGTGGAGCATCGCAAGATCGTTTGAGTATATGTTCCAGATACTTTAAAAACTGCTTGGCATAATTTATGGCCAGCTAGCATATTTCATGTTGAGGATGATGAAGAATAGCTGCGAATGTGAAGGTTTTCGGATATCGCAAACAAAAAGGTTAAATTTTCCAATTAATGGATTTTTTAATGAAATGAATTAAGCCAAAAGTTAATTTTTAATAAAGCAGTAATAAATGAAGATGATATAACAAAGTTTTTCATTCCGATAACAATGCTCCATTCATCAATCAATTAACGAAAGGCAAAATTTGTAGTATGGTTCTAGACACAGAAAATACCACTACCGATAGTGAAGAAAGTGATAGAGAGGTTATTGAAAACGAAAAAATTTCGATTGACAAGTTAGCCGCAGTTCTTTGACACAGCAACTACAGGACTTGAACAGTGGAACTTTGCAACTGAACAAGAAATTATGTCTGTCTGTAGAACTGAAGAGAAAATATAAGCACAAAAGACGAAGCAAGTTAAACAATTTACATTCAAAGAAATGTTTAATAAAGTAAACGTATAAATATTATGCTTTTTTTTGTAAATTTTGATAGTCTTTAGATCATAACTGCTTTATTATTTCATAAGTCACAATTTCATATTTTTAATTTTATAATTTCTATGTGCCATCTTACTACATTTAAACTGATGATCTAATATCCGGAAAAATCCCAAATCTGGAAATGCCGAAGTCCCGACGTGTCTGGATCTCAGACTTTATACTGTATTTTCTTTTTTCTTTCTTTTCTTTGTTTATTGTATGTTTTTATTCTTTTTAGAGTTTAGGGAGAGTTGAGTATCCACCTTTTGTTGATTTCATGGGCCATGCCACAGCAATTTATACTAATGGATCCACCTGTCTGAAAAATTCTAACTTTCAAAATCGTGCAAGGATTATATTTGTGTGTGATAGTGAAGCTGGAGTAGTAAGTTTTTTCCCATCGGTCATGTAAAGTTATGTAATGCATGTGTGTAATATTTTATTATTTTAAAAGTATGATTTCATAGTATACAATAATTTATTAAATTTGAGGAACATGTTAGATTTTATAATTTTTCTTTCAATATTCCGGCCATTTTTAAATGATTGTATTAGAAAAAATACCAGAAATGCATATTTTGAATGCTCGTTTCTTGGTTTTATTTTGTGCACTATGTATCTTCATTAACTTATGTTCCTGGTAGTGGCCTACAAATAGTAAAATAATTGTAAATTATGTTGATAATGGTGGTGTTGTCTTATTTATAAGCAGGCATTATATTCTGTAATTCTATTTTTTGATTATTTTCATATTACTTCTAATGCAACTTAATAGCATAGAATTTCATAAAGTTTAATTTGGATAGATGTAAATACATATAATGGCCATAAATATCATGTGATTTAAAATATAGTATGTCATTTTTTTGGTAAAAAAATTAAAGTTCCAATATTAGATTTAAAATTTTTCATTATTAATTTCTTAAAAGATCAGGAATTTAACTAATAATGGCTATTGATTATCAATAAAAGAAAATATAATTTGATGTAATTAATGAAATTAGATTTTTGATTGCATTTAAAAAAATGTTAAAGTGGATTTATTACTGAAGTATTAATAATGTAAATAGATTATACTTAGCTATTGGGTATTTAACTTAATCAACAGCGTGTTTACATTCAGGTATTTGTATCAAACTGAACTTTAGTGGTCAGCTGCAAGGAGCTCACAGATTCTCAGAAGAGTCCTTTGTAAATCTCTAATTTGAGAGCCCCCTTTTTTTTGTTTCCTTGTTTATTTATTCCTCCCCAAAAGGAATTTGTGTATCATAGTCATACTTCCTGAACCGTCTTTCTTTTAATATTACTTGTTGAATATCTTATGTAAGCCTATTTTATATTAGAGAATCTTTCAGCTCAACAGTTTTTCTAATAATTGAAGAAAATCTTGGACTGTAAATTGTACTTCAGATTTAATGACAGTATCCTTAAATAGGAAATATTTAAGAGAATTTCATTCTAAATCATATGTAAAAGCAATTTTGAAAATCTATGATTAAACCATATAGCCTTTTAGAAGATCAACTGGAATGGAAGAAGTAAATAAAGTGTGTTAGTTTTTAGCGTAAATTGTGCTGCAAAATTAAATTTATTTTACATAATTCACATAATAATTTGGACTTTTTAAAATTTCTGTAAAAGTTACACTATTTAACGTCTTTATGTAAAAATTATTCAGATTCCTTGTTTTTGTAAAAAATAAAACTAATTAGACTTAATGATAAAGTGCCTACTCTTTTGTACAATTTTCATAGCTCACCCCTGCCTAAAATTTGGTTCTTCATACCCTGCCTAAAACTTCATCTTGGTTCATTTTCATGTGTATAGTTTGGCTGCATGCGATTTTCATGTTTCCCTTGTGTTTAACATGAATATAAGCCACTTACCTCACATTAGAAAGTTTCCTTGAAGGCATCTGTCATAAAGCAGATATCCTTTGAGTGTTTTATCATAGGCAAATTAGCCAATCAATTTTCACAGTGTAAAAAATTCAGATTTTAATACTTCTGTTAAGTTTTGATTTAACATTTAATATGCTTTGTAAAATTGTTGAAATCGTTCTGAAATATAAGTGTATGCAGGTTCATGCTATCCTTAATAGTTCTTAGGTTTATTTTTTGAATGATTTTTAGTCCATAGATTCTTTAATTTTGCTTATCTCATATTTGCCTGTTTTTGATGATTCACTGTTTTCAGTATGAAATAATAATATATTGGATGAAAAGGAAATTCAAAGTGAAAATTTGAGATTTATATTTCTTAACATATTGTATATAATTTCATACTATCTTAAGATATTCTCACTATTGAAACTATTGAAAAATGAGATCAGCAGCTTTTCTTTTATACTTTCTTAATATGTACAGTATTTAGAACAGTAAAATCTTCAATTAAAATTGAAAATTCAAATATGAGATTGTTGAGGAGGTTGATGACATACAGAAAAGAAATTTTTCTGTTAAGAAATATTAAATTCAACAAAATTCTGATAATCCTCTCACCTTTGGACAAAGTGTTGCATGGATTTGGTTCATTTTGTGAATTATAGATAATTTTTCTGACTTTTGTTTACATTTGTCCAGTTTTAATTCTTACAGTAAAATGGGATTATTGCATATATTCTGCTTGGTTGTATAGGATACAAAACTGCTATTTTTAAACACATTCAAAGAAAGTAATGCCATTACAAAGAAAGACTTAATGGAGAGAAAAGGGGTTTAAATTGAATATATTTTGCAAAAATAAGAACTCTTGTTTTGAAAAAATTTGATGTCCAACAATTTTTATACTCTTCTACAAAAGAAATATATTTATAGTATATAACTTGTGAGGTTTCCTCTGCATATAATTATTATCTTAACTCCACCATTCCATTCATTCCATGCATCTGCAATTCGATTAATAACATTACTAGTTAGCAGGCTGTAGAAAAGCTTTTCTTTTTTTTTTTTCTTTTTTTTCTTTTTTTATTTTGTGCCAGAAAAATCTCTACAAGTGCTATTTTAAATAATTTACCTGTATTTGCTGCTGATTCTAAAAGCTTATTGCATGGAATATAAATAACAACTTTCAAGCTGTATTTAAGTTGAAACTCAGAGTGTGGAACATAGTGGACAAATAAGTTCTTTATAATGCTATCAACATAAGTTCAAAGTTAATTTTAAAAAGTGGGGTATGTAAGTTTAAAAGGAGAGATTTATCTTACGGGGGGAAGGAAATCTGCAGGTTCATGATGAATATTTACTATAAATTGTGAATGCAAATGAGCATTTTTACTGTTAAATGATCACGTGCAGAAATTGCTAAATATTCTTTGATAATAAAATAAAATGACTTTTAAAATCAATATATGTAATAAATATAACATGTTTTTTTTTTAATTTACATGCATATAGATACTTATAATTGTCATATAATTTGTCATGCTAAATTTTCTGAAAATCCTAAGTTTGTTTGCCTCTGAAAATTAGCATCAGTTATCAGATATAGATTTGGTATATTAATAAAGAAGCAAATGTCTTTTGCCGAAAGTCTCCCTCATCCAATGATCACTAATCATTAATTATCTTTCAAAGAAATATCTACAAACTCCGAATGCTTTTTATATTTAAAGATTCTGATTTCAATTACAGTTTGATTTCTGCCTTTAAAACAATAGATTTTAAAAACATCAAGCAGTCTGAAATGAGTTTTAACAAAATTACATGTGGCATTTGATTTTCTGACATAGCAGGTTTCCACATTCAGTATAATTGTGTTTCCAACACAAATTGTGTTCTAACGCAACCATAGCCAACTTGTTGGTGTTACCCATATTTGAGCACATGTGAGTTTAAGTGCTTGTTTTTTTACGTGAGTTTAAATGCCTTTTTTTTTTTCATTTTTCTCATCTCAAATATTTTTTCAAGTCATGGAGTCCTCCATAAAATTTTTATAAAATGCTCCTTTTTGTTATTATTCATGATCAGAACAGTGGTTATGAACTATTAAAATAGACAAATGAGGTTTTTGCCAACTTTACTAAGTCATTAATGAGTTGGTGGGTTTTCATGGGGTACAGGTAATCAGAAAATATTCAGAATTTCTGTTGTGATAATGACTTATAATTAAATTCTTTGTTTTCAGTTGGAAAAATTAATAAGTCATAATTACTATTGTAGCACTTTATTAAAATCATCATATTTAAAAAGAAAGGTTTTTGCTAAGTTAGTATTGGCTTTTTTTTAATATTAAAGAATATGAAGCTATTTTGGAATTAATATAAATTTTAAAAAGTTGTCTTAAATGTACATCTTGACATCATTTATGATAAAAATTCAGTAATTTTTCATCCTAATCTGACATGGAAAATATTAATTCAGTTTCCCATATAAAAAGTTTGATTTTTTGGGGGAGGGACAGAAAGAGGTTAAGAATTTCATTGCCTACAGAATTTGTGTTTATTTTTTCTTTTCTTTTCTTTTTTCTTTTCTTTTTTTTTTTTTTATTCAGCTGTATTTTATGTGGAATATTCTAATACATTTTCACATTTCAGGGTGAGCCTATTCTTCTTACTGAAGATGATGAATGTTACTTTATTTTTGAATGGAGAACCAGCATAGTATGTCCAGAAAAGCCTACCAGTGACACTAAATTCACATCTTGTAATTATACTGATAATAGCAAAGGTATATATTTCAATCTTCTTCCACTTCAAAAGGCAGGAATAAAACCATATTATGAGGTATGGAAATTTTCTTAATTGTATCATTAAGTATTTTTCTTTATGAAATTAATGATTTTATTAAGTTGTTCATTTTATTTGTTCATTTATTTGTGATTAATTCTGTTGAATAATGAAGAAGTATTTGGATGGTAAGAAAAACCTGCTTGTGCATTGCTGTATTTCTTTAATCCTAAAATACATTTCTTTCCCACTTAAAAATCTGTAAAAATAAGATGTAGCTTAGAATTGCTAGAAGAGGAGGGGAGTATTTTCAGTGCTTTACACATAGCACTTAATACTCCATTTTTTATGAGGAAACTCCAGGTATTAATTTGATCATTGTGGAGTTTTCCATTTCCATTTGTGAATAAAGTGCTGTGGTTTTTCTTAATGTTTTTCATATCTAAATCCTTGTTATTTTATTGTATTATATGCCTATAATTAAAAACTGAGAGTTTCAGTTATGTTTCATTCATTTTAATTTCCTTTTGCATGTCAAAATGTTTTCATATTGCTTTGTGCCACAAGGGAAGAGAATCTTACTTCATGTTTAAAAAGAAAAGTAAAGCTATGGGTTGACTTTTTGATGGTAATGAAGTGAAAGGTCATTAATAGATATTTATCAATCTCAATTCCACTCCATTTCCTGCAAACCAACCAGACAAAAGAAT